TTATTTGAGGATGGGGAAATAGATCTATGTGCCTATATTTATAGGTTTAGTATTAAGGTAGCAGAAGGACATTGGGCCTCCACTCAAGTACTCCCTCATGCAAGAAATTTATATTTTTGATGGGAAATGTAAATAGTTAACATTCTCTTGAATAATATGTAGTACTTTAAAGTGTTGTTAGCTACCTAATTTATTTTACTCGGTGAGATAAAAGGGCAGCTATAGTATCTTAATTTTGTAGTTAGGCGAATGTTCAGAGAAGTGATATAATTACTTAAGGTCATGCTGCCAGAGAGTCCCAGAGCTAGTACCAGGATGAAAGATTTTCTTCTCAGTGTACAAAGCTATATATTTTAATATTTTTCTTCGAGAAAAGTCTAGCTTCAGAACAATGCATTTTAGAAATACAAATATAGTTGAATAAGTTATCTTCTCTTTAAAAACGTGACTTGCAATAGCTTACTATTTTAAGCAATTCTTTCTTGTATTTATTTAGAAGTAGAACAGTATAGATGCATCTAAAAATTCCTTAACTGCAAGCTTCCATCTCATTCTTATTTCCACTTTTCAGAGGCAACCACCATATGAGTTCGGTGTGTTACCCAGCCTTCCAATCCATTCAACAAACAAATAGCAGCAGCAACAAAAACACCGCAGAGCCTTGACATTCTCTCTCTCCCTCTATCTCTGTGTGTCTATGTCTCTCTCTCACACACGTGCACACAAATATACGATGCTTTATGAGTTTTAAAAAATATTAATTTGTGAGTTAAAAATATCATTAAAAGGATCATACTGAACACCTTATAGTATGTATCTACCTTTTTTTCATCCATTTTCATCATACAGATCTTAGAATATGTAAGGCTTTTGTAAGCATGACAGAAAATACATAATTTAGCTTAAAAATCTAGTGTTCCACAAAAGTCTAGGATATTTCCATTATTGTATTGCCAAATGAAACTGTTCTCACTAAGAATTTGCTTTTTCTGAAGTTAGCAATATGCTTTAAAATTTTATTGTGTTTTCATCTGATGACTCCAAATTTACAACAAAATAGTTATAGAGATGAGGAACATGTTTTGAACTTGCGCTTGCCAAAAAGTCAAATAAGAATACCTCCTGAATAGGAAGTGTTATTTTGTTTAGCTTGCAGAGAGCAGGTTCTGGTAGGAACTAACTATTCAGGATAGATGTGCCAAAAGGAAAAGCCTCACTTGAATTAAGTCAAATTGGACCCATGATAATGGAAGCCAGTACATAGCAACCAAATCCATTAAAAATGAATCTATTAAAAAATCCCAGCACTGAAAAATCCTCTTGCCTTATGAGTTGGGGAGTTGGACATCTCATTCAATAACCTTTGTTGTTTTCCACCTCGGAAAGGAGACCTGCAAAACATCTGTGTAACTAGAACTCTGTTTTATTTATAACATCATTCATGGGCCATACATTTAATTAACTCGCCCCTAAAGTGATAGCTGAAACTACTTTTCTGTGAGAGGGATGATGTTAGCTGGTATTGAAGATTTCCAGCGGCCTGACATGACCCATCGGCGGGACTTTCCCCATCCTGTCCATGTGGTCTCTGCTGGAACCTCTGAATTTGGTGGCTGCAGCCAATTGCAGACAACAGCAGTCAGAGTCCTCTCTCCCCACGGCAATCCCACCTGCTCAGAGAAGAACTGTGCTCCATAGGCATAAGGTTTCATTCATGGCTGGGACTATTTGGAAGCAGGCCCCCAGGTATCTACATATGGGCAAGACTAACTGAGTTCCAATATAATTTTAGTTACAAGAACAGTTGAGCAGTTATGGCCTAAAGCAGTGGTTCTCAACCTTCCTAAGGCCACAACCCTTTAAAACAGTTCCTCGTGTTGTGGTGACCCCCAACCATAAAATTATTTCTGTTGCTACTTCATCACTGTCATTTTGCTACTGTTAAGAACTGGGCGACCCCTGTGAAAGGAGTTGCGACCCACAGGTTGAGAGCTGCTGGCCTAAAGGCCGTGGTTGGGTCTCTGCTGGGTTGGAAGCACTGGTATACTGGTAAATGTTTAACAGCCAACTTTTGGGAGGAAGGATCCAGTCCTGATTTGTAACATTGTCCATTTACACAGTACAGATACTCTCCCATGGTCGAGTTCAGGCTCCCAACTTGACCTCCCTGAAAGGTGAAAGAGATGCACAGTCACGTACCACTGACTGTGGTATACTAAGTATTTCCCCCATACAGGAGCGGTTAATACAAATAGCCCCACACACATAAGAAGTAGGAAAACAATGAGTGAAATAAAAATAAGTGAGTTTTCAGTATTTATTACTTAAAAATATTTAATAAAAAAATCATACATTTTATTTCTAATAATGCCCGCACTTAGCATGTGGCTCAAAAATACTTTCCCTAAAAGTTAAACAACTGCTTCTTGTGAGCCAGTGCACTCCAGCATCAGTGGGCTGGAGGACATAGAAGTTTAGTTTACTAAGTTGCTTGCTGAATCATAATTTATACGGGAGAGTAAAACAAAAAAAAATACAGAGATTTATGTTAATACATTCTTGCTCATCTATTTTAAAATAAACCTGAGAAAATAATTTTCTTCGAATAAGTGAGAGGTGACTCACCGTTTTTTCCCTTAGTACTTTATCTCAACCTTGAAGTGATAGCTTATGAAGTAAATTTACGTCGGTAGATTTTGCCAGTGTGTCACACATACTGATAAATGCTACTTACTGTTTATTTGATTTTTTCCCCTCAAGGCATAACTGTGACTTCTGACGAAGAAAGAAACCTGAATCACTATGTACAAGACTTACAGAACCTGCTACTAAGTGTTCCCACGAAGGGGGAGACAGGCCATGAGGCACAAACCAAGGCTACCAGCAGTGTCGCTCCCACGGGCACGAGGGCGATACAGTATGAGGAGATCTCCACTGACAAGGATGTGGTACTCAGTCCCCTCAGGGAAGTAACGACGCCTGTCCCTCACCGCGCCATCACAGTGGAAGACGAGAGGAGAAAACGTACTAAACGCACAGCATTCTGGTCCATCAAACCAAACAACATTTCTGTTGTTTTACGTACAAAAGAACCTTATATTGAAAGAGAAGAAGAACCAGAAGCGATTGTAAGACCAACTGGAAGAACGACGCCATTGTCACCTGTCTCTGATGTTGCTAAGGGTCTACAAGTCACCTCACGCACATCACTTACCCCCACTTCACTTACCCCCACTACACGAGAAGGCAGTGACTTGAGAGACTCCACAGAGCTGGAAGACGTTCCTCAGCTCTCAGGGGAAGAAAATCTGGAGGGAATAACGTTTGGAAAACACGCACAGACTTTGAATAATGACGACATTTTGAAAAAAATTTCAGATATTCGTTTCCAGGTGCAGCAGGCACCTCGTGGCGACAGCCTCAATGAAGAATCTCGAGAGGACATCCGCGCCTCTAAAGATGACCTGAGACGAAGCATTGCTCTCGCAGCAGCAGCCGAGCAGAAACTGACTAAAATGTCCGAATCCCAGATCTTACCACTCGGACAAACTGGTAATGAAGTAGATAACATTGAAGCTGTTATTAACGTGTTGTATAATTCTCGAGATAAAATACCTGAATATTTTGATATTAAATACGTGCCACCAGAGATGAGAGAAAAAACTAGTACAGTATTCAATGCATTGAAAAAAATATTATGTGTAGGTGGAGGAGAAGCTCAAAGCCTTATTAGGAGGTTAATAAAGATTAGTATGAGACTTTTAAGGCTCCTTAATACTTCATGACTTAAATGAATTGTGCATTCATTCCTAAGAGAAATAAGCATAATACTGATTTCAAACGATGTATAAGAATATTTGCTATTGCAATTCAGTTTGCTAACAGATCTGCATGTCATTGTTATAAAAAGTTTTCATATGCACTAAAACTCTCGTAATTTAAAATAAAATTTTGTTCAGTAGTTTGTAGTGTTTTCTTATTAAGTTTTAAAGCCTGTGAAGATTTAATTTCTAAACTGTTTAAGCTTTGATTTTACTTGTATAAATTAAATATACCCCTTTTGTAATAGTTAAGCAGGAGACTATGCAGTATAGCCGATTTTAAATAGTTGCCTAGACATGTAAAATTATGGATGACTCTGTGTTTTCTAGCCGAATAGAGTACATGGGGCTCCGAACTACATTATTTGGCTATAAGGCTGCTTCATTTGAAAGGTGGATGATGCATTAATAAAGATACTACTCTTTCTTTGTTAAGTGCTTTGGAGCATCAATGAGAGACTGTATAACCATATCCCTTTTTGTTTGTTTATACAGATACCCTTTGAAGCAAATCTGTTATCAAGGAGTATGATTAACATGATCAAGGATAAGATCATTGTGCCGTATTTTAATTATAATATAGGTAATTTTGTTTCTGATTTGACCAGATTATGGAGCCCTGGTGGTGTAGTGGTTATGAGATCTGCATGGTCAGCAGTTTGAAACCACCAGCTGCTCTGCAGGAGGAAGACTGGGCTTTCTACTCCCACAAACGGCCACAGTGTAGGAAACCCACAAAGGGTCACTATGAGTCAGCGATAACCTGAGGGCAGTGAGAGAGAAACAAGAACGATGTGGTTATATAGAGATAGCTCTCTTACTCCCATTTCTCTTCCCTTGACACTGGTAACCACTAATGTCCTTTCATCTTGATGGGTTTGCCTATTCTAGATATTTCATAGAAGTGGGATCATATAATATTTGTCCTTAATTTATTAACATATTTCACTTTGTATAAGGTTTTCAAATGGTGATCCATGTAGTGGCATGAATCAGCTTCATTTTGTTTATGGCTAATACATACTCCATTGCATGGATTACATACATACTCCATTGTATGTATAAGGGTAAGTCAAAAGTATTGCTACAAAATCATAGGACTCCTTATTAAACAAAAATATCAAACTGTGAAACAATTGTTTCTCAGCATATCCTCCATGTGGGTCTATACACTTCTTAAGGTGGTATTTCCATTTCTCTCACCCATCCTTGAAGAATACTGCACTCTTCAATTTATACCATTCACAACAGCCCTTTCGGCTCAGATCATGTTCTCTGAGCGCGGGAACAAAGAAGTCTGAAGGGCTATCACCCGGGCTGCAGGACGGATGAGGTAAGGCTCCTCGTGCCGTTCTCGCAGGACAGCCCTTGCCGCCCTTGAAGAATGAGCAGAGCATTGTCGTGGTCGCTCTGGTCAGCTTCCGGGCATACAGTTTTCCCACCCGTGTAGTTTCCAGTTTCTTAAGACTGCTTTCTGAAACACAATGCTATGTTTTGAAACTTTTCTTCTTTTCAAGATTACTTTGACTTTTCTGAGTCCTTGGCAATTCCATGGAATTTGAAGACAGGCTTTTCCACATCTGAGAAAGTGGCTTATAATTTTAGTGGGAATTGCATTATGCTTGTAAATCATTTTGGACAGAAGTAATAGAATTGACATCTTCACAGGATGAAGTCTTCCGATTCGTTGACACGGGATGTCTTTCCATTTGCTTAGTTCTCTTTTAAACCTCTTTGGCAGTGTTTTATAGTTTTCAGTGGTAAGGTCTTTTACCTTCTTGGTTAAATATATTCCTAGGTATTTTAATCTTTTTAATATTTCTTTTGTCAAATGAATGATTTTCTTAATTTTCTTTTCAGATTTTCTTGATTGGTGCACAGAAACAATTGATTTTGCTTATTTTCTACATTGATTTTATACCCTGCCACTTTGCTGAATCTTTTGCTTAATTTCAGTAATTTTCTTTGCTGTGATTTTAGGAATTTCTACATATAAGATTTTATCTTCTACAAATTAGAGTCACTTTAATCAAGTCACTTAAAATACTCCCAACAAAATTATCCAGGCCTGGGTAGACGCACTGGTGCATTCTGCCAACATTCATAAAAAGACTGGCACCACTTCTATTCAAACTACTCCAGAGGATGGAAGAGAGCGGACTGTTCCTGATCAAGTTTATAAGAAGTGAATATGTAACCTCGATCCCCAAGTCAGATAAAGACATCACATAAAAAAAGAAAATTATAGAAAAATATCCCTCACGAGCATAGGACAAAAGTTTCCCCCAATCCTTTGATTTTTATTCTGGTTTAGTCTTTGTGTCTAAGGGGTGTGTCTCTTGTAGACAACATATTGATGTGTCTTTTTTATCTGTTCCTTTTCCATCCATCATTTGAATTTATTTATTTATATTTATTAGCAAATCAAAATTTATTATTGTTTTTTGATATATTTCAAGATACTCTTTTGGGTAGTGACTGCACCATGTTTACCATTTGTTTATTTACTAGACCAAGCACTGCAACCTCCAAATCATTGATTTTTATACTGGACTTTCTTGGTGATGGTGGGTGGCTCCTCTTTCTGAGTGGTCCTTTTAGTCTAGGCTCTTGTTATCATTTATGATTCTTCTACTTTTTTAAAGTACAAGAAAAAATTAGATAACTTGCAGTGACAGGAACATAAGTA